AAGTCCCCTGGGCCTCTAAGTACTGTTCCACACCGAGCTTTGCAGGTTCTGACCAGTACCTTAGCTCCCAAGGCGTGTAGGGTTTGGAAGTAGTTCTTACTGATTACAGCAGTACGATTCCTGTATCGTACATCAAGGCTGCTAGCACGGGATATAGACCCAGACCCGATTGAGGCCCCAGAATAGCCTATTGGTAGGCGGAGTGGCCGCCCGCTTCACACCTTTCACAGCTTCCTTTGAAAACCTAGCCCTGTCGCAGGGTCCAGAACAATCCCAACAAACAACGGTGCATTTAGCAGCAAGGCTTGCGGTAGCCGGAGCACATCAGTACTCGCACGAGGCGGAGTATGTAGGGGTTGCAAGGCATGAAGCAATGCTGCAAGGATGGCAAGAGTGCTAATGATCATGAGCCAGAGTCGACAATAGCAATATTTCTACTGAGTGGGCAGCAGCAAAGATAATATCAAGCGGGTACAACACCAGCAGCACCATCTTGTAGGCCGCATTCTATCTTTTGACATCGCCCCAGCTCAAATCTCGAGGTATGCGCTCCAGAAGCCGAAAACGACATCGAGCTCCAAACCTTGAACTCCCGAGCCTTTGAACATGCTCTTTCTGCCCATGCTGGCAATGGTAAGCTTGGCGTGCGCACCCACGTGGTGAACGCACAAGCCCACGCGATGGAGTGACGGGGATCGCAGACACGATAAAGCCGAAACTCTAAACGAGTCTGACACGATGAGACCCTTGAATCCAAGGTCATCGGAAACGAAGCCAGTGCCAGCAACCATGCACGCCCGCACGCACGATCTGCGCAGGTACGCCCACGCAGGAGCACATTCATAAAACGTCCGTACACATACATATCTTGTGAAACAGACTCATACGTACACAGATAGTATTCCTGTCTGTATTTGTCATTTGCGGTTCGCTGCGCTTGCACATTGACATTATGTTTGCCAGCGTCTGTGTGTAGGTATATGCATGCAGATATACTTGCACTTATATACACAGTCCTACCTCTTGTCGTTGCACCGAAAGCCTGGACGTAAGCCCTGCGCCGAGAACATCTCGCCTTGCAGATTCGCCAGGACGTCCTGGTTTTCGCGGGGCTCACGGCCACGGTCCTCTCTGTCAAAGACAGCGGAGACTGCTCCAGGCCCCGAGCCCCTGTCAGCTTTCTTAGTTTTTCATAGGGTTTTGGAGGTCTTGCATTTGGGTGCTACAAGGTTTGACAGATGGTTGATGGTAAAAACAGGGGTCTGGCTTAGGGTCTGTGGGGCCCACACAGGCTTTTAATTCAATGTTTCGCACTTTCGGAGTCCGGAGTTTGCTTTTCTAGAAGAAACTGTTCCTCGGCGGTCCCTGCAGTTTCACGGTTTCTTATCGTACCGTCTTTGTTCGCGGGCAGCCTATACCCCAGTGCAACATCCGTGGCTCAGCGGTTCCTGGTGTAGAGCTTCAAGTGGGAGTTTCCGAAAGTAGGGGTACCTTATTTTGGGGTCCTTATAATAAGGATCCTACTATTTAGGGTGCTATATTAGGGTCCCCTATTTTCTGAAACCCCCAAGTAAATGGCAGTTTCAGAAAGAAGGGACCCCTGGAGAGGAGAGGCCCTAGGCAGGAAGCTTTCTGGGCTCCAGCCCTAAGCACAAACCTTCGGCCCAGGACCAAAGCGGGGCGCTAACAAACACTAGGATCCAAAAAAGCTCAAGAGCCCGGACGCTCCTAACTCTCAAGCCTAAACCCTAAACCCTAAACCCTCTGTCGAACATGGATCCTCGCCTGGCTTGTCCGAGTTGTGAGAGTGTAAACCCGAAGCCCTAAACCCTAAAAAGCCCTGAGGCAGGAACGGCAGACCCCACCTTCAAACGCCGGAGCAGCCTTGAACTTTCAACTCCGAGCGACTCATATGGGGGTTTCCGAAAGTATGGGACCCTAATATAGTACCCTAAATTGTAGGATCCTTACTATGAGGACACTAAAGAAGGTACCCCTTATTTTCAGAAACTCCCATATTTCCCAAAGCCGCGGGCTCCTGCCTTCAACTCGAAGCCCCCCCCCCCTTGGCCCAAGAGCCGGAAAGCCTAACGCCCTGAAACTCTGAAGCCCCAAACCCTCAAAAAGGAAAAAGCGAACTCTGCAAAAGCCCCACCCAGACCACCAAAACCCCAAAACCCAACCGTAAACTCCTGAACACCTAAACCACTAAAACCCTAAAACCAACCCTAAACCCCTGAACACCTAAAACCACTAAAGCCCTAAAGCCAACCCGAACCCCCTGAACACTTAAAACCAACCCTAAACCCCTAAAGCCACTAAAACCCTAAAACCAACCCTAAACCCCTGGGCCACTAAAGCCCTAAAACCAACCAACAAATGGAACCCTCGGAGCCCTGCAAGGTCCGAGCCTTTTAAAAAAGGTCGAAGAACCGGGGCTGTGGTTTAGGGTTTAGGGGGTCTTAAAAAAAGGTGGTAGTAGTCATGGTAAATAAATGCCCTAAACCCTAAACCCTAAACCCTAAACCCTAAACCCTTCACACTGACCAAATGAAACTGGTGAGGCCCATCCAAGCCAGAGAAAGAAGGTCGGGAGCTGAGGTGTTAAAGTCTTTTGTTTATTTAGGGTTTAGGGTTTAGGGTTTAGGGCTTTGAGAGTAGGTGTTTAAATGAGTTTTTTGGTAGGGGGTTTTATCAGGGCTCTGCAGGTGCTCCAAAGATTTTAGACAGTTTGTGTTGCTAGGATACTACCGGGGCTTTGTAGATTGTCTTTATCGGAAAATGTGAGGGCGTTGGCATAATTTGTAAGTTTGTAGGTGTGCCGAAGGCTCTACTAGGGCTCTATCACGGCCCTAAATAGGCCTTGAGCAAGGGCTCCGCAGAAAGGGTCACAAACGCAATCCAAGAAGTACTCTTTCATCAAGGGTGCAGAGTCTTTGCGATCCAGTGTAGCTTCCATGTGTGTTTTGCTCTCTGCAAACCGGCATCCTTACCCGAAACTCTCTTGTCTTGCCGCCGCAGCGGCAGGATACGTTGAGAGTTTGCTTGCCTCGGTGGCTTCGTTCGGCATAATGAACACGCGAGCGCTGTCATCGTCAGTTGAGACTCGGGCAACAGAACGCTTGTGGCGACTCTTTGGGCTTTGCACCACCGTGAAGAGGCATGGGGGGTTGGGGTGCTTGTGGTTTCTCTTGGGTTGGCATCCTTGTGATCTTGTGTTTGCTTCGATGTTGCAAGTCTTTCCCAGTTGCTCCAATCTGAGGCTTGAATTCCAAACGAACGGTCAGACATGAGTTTTTTGCAGGTTTCCCCGATCAGCAGAACCCAGCTTGGTAGCTTCTCTGCAGGTGGCACCGGGCCACCGCCACAATCATGTTGGCAGGAGCCCCGACAAGCCCCACTCAGCCCCAAAACCAGAAACCCTGAACCCTGAACCCTAGACCCGAAGCCCCAAACCCTAACCCCCCAAACCCTAAACCCTAAACCCCTAAACCCTAAACCCAAAAAAAATCCTAAACCCTAAACCCCAAACCCCTAAACCCTAAACCCTAAACCCCAAAAAACCCTAAACCCCCGGCCCCCCGAAAGTCCCCCGAGGCCCAGACGAGCCCGAGCCGGGCTCTGCTCCCGCCTCTCCGAGTTCTCCCGGCAGCACTCCCGAGGACTCGCAGAAGTCTTTAGGACCTTAGGACTTTAGGGTTCAAGGGGTTTTTAGGACTTTAGGCTTTAGGGTTCCAGTGGTTTTTAGGACTTTGGGACTTTAGGGTTCAAGGGGTTTTTAGGGTTTAGGACTTTAGGGTTTAGGGTTGAAGGGGTTTTTAGGGTTTAGGACCTTAGGACTTTAGGACTTTAGGGTTCAAGGGGTTTTTAGGGTTTAGGGTTTAGGACTTTAGGGTTTAGGGTTCAAGGGGTTTTTAGGGTTTAGGGGTTTAGGGTTTAGGACTTTAGGGTTTAGGGTTCAAAGGGTCTTAGGGTTTAGGGTTTAGGGTTTAGGGTTCAAGGGGTCTTTAGGGTTTAGGACTTTAGGGTTCAAGGGGTTTTTAGGGTTTAGGGGTTTAGGGTTTAGGACTTTAGGGTTTAGGGTTCAAAGGGTCTTAGGGTTTAGGGTTCAAGGGGTCTGTAGGGTTTAGGGGTTTAGGGTTTAGGACTTTAGGGTTTAGGGTTCAAAGGGTCTTAGGGTTTAGGGTTTAGGGTTCAAGGGGTCTTTAGGACTCAGGGCCTTCATAGGTTTGTTCCACAAAGTTTCTCACTACGGCACGTCTCACCGCTCGGTAGTGCACCCATGGGTGGGCTGTGAGTACGTGATAGAGACAGAGAGCGAGCTTTCCGGACCTGCGTGGATTTGGGCATATTGCGCGATGTCACCCAGCTCATCAGGGGTGTTGGTTTGTTGCGTTTCGCGGCGGGGCGCCGCCAGTGCAGTGTAGTTAGACACAACCAGAGGCCGCAGCGAGCCGCAGCTAAGCTATCCAATTGTTTTCAGAGTGCCAAATCTGTAGCCCGTTTGGCCGCACCGAGATCGCCTCACCAGTCCTTCCTGCCCTTTCCCCTCACATCCTCATGGCGCGCCGACCCATCGTTGGTGGCAACTGGAAGTGCAACCCGGAAAGCATGGCAAAGCTGGATGGGCTCGTGGAGAACATGAATGCCTGCGACGCGAGCAAGTGCGACATCTATGTGTGCCCATCTCCTCTCCATGTTGCTTACGTCTGTTCCAAGGTCAAGGCTGGCATCAACGTCTGCCCCCAGAATTGTGGCTAGGCCGCTCTTGAAGGTTGTCGAGCCATAGTGTTGCATAGTAGTCTGGCCTTGAGAGGGACAGATATTATCAGCCTAAACTTTAGGCCCCAAGTCCGTAAAGCCTAGAAGCCCCTAAATCCCTTTCAACTCCAGAGCCCTAAGCCCTAAGCCCTAATGCAAACAACTCCGAAGCCCTAAAGTCAATGCACTCGCAACCGTCCAGAACATCCCAGTCTAAGGACTTTAGGCTAGTAGGAGGGACCCCGAATAGGGACCCTTAATCCCATTACCTTAAATTGCCATTGTATAGTCCTTATATACCCCTTATATAGCCAGGTAGTCTCCATATTAACCCCAATAACCTACAAGGGTCCCATTAAGGGTCCCTCCTAAAGCCCTTAGACCCAGGCAATTTCAAGGGCTGCGGCGCTTACACCGGGGAAGTGGCTGTGGAGCAGATGAAGGACTTGAAGATCGAGTGGGTCCTGACCTTGGTGCTCTATAGGGTTTACAGGGTCTTCAGGGTTTTGGCGGGATTTAGGGGTTTAGGTTTTAGGGTTTTAGGGTGTATAGGGCTTTCAGGGTTTAGGGGGGTTTAGGGGTTTAGGTTTTAGGGTTTTAGGATAGGGTTTTTAGGGTTGTAGGGGACTGTAGGGTTTTGATTAGAGATACATAGGGGAGACCTCTCTCAGTGTCCACATTGCGGTTCATATGTTTCTCCCCTCAACTTTAAATCCGAAGCCCTGAACCTTGAACCCATCTCTCCGATGCAGCACGGAGGCGAGGAAGCAACATAATGCAAAACCACGCCAAACGGGAAAGAACCTCGCCTGGCATGTCCAAAACTGAAGCCCAAAGCCTCAGTTCTAAGTGGGAGTTTCCGAAACGAAGGGGTACCTTATCTTAAAGTCCGTATAGTAAGGATCCTACCATTTAGGGTGCTATCTTCGGGTCCCCTATGTTCGGAAAGCCCCAAGTCTTCTTATACGTAGAAAAAGGGTTTAGGGTTCAGGGTTTAGGGTTATTTAGGGGTTTAGGGTTTAGGGTTTAGGGTTATTTAGGGGTTTAGGGTTTATAGCAGCTTATAAGGTCCTGATCGGGCACTCCGAGCGACGTGAGTACTTCCAGGAGTCGAACGATCTGCTCTTGGCTCGCAAGAAGTTTCTGGATTATCTGAGGTCTTGCTGAAAGGAATCTTCTGAGATTGCCATGAGGAGTATGGCAAGGTTGCTATAGCAAGTCAAAAAGGGGTCTTCGGCTCATGTGGCTTCAAGCTTTCGAGTTTTTAGGCTTGAGCTTCTGAGATTGTGAGACTTGAAGGTGTGCCGTAAGCAAGCCCCTCGTTTTGGTTCCCAGCAGAGGCTCTTGCAGACTGGATGCAAAAGAGTTTTCTTCCTTAAGGTGCCGGCTATTACTAGGTCCATGGCAATCTAAACTCGGAAAAGGAAGCAAATGGGGTAGGGCTATGCGGGGATGCAGTCATAGTCATCGCACCACAACCTGCGCCATTCAACCCGTGGATCATGCCGTGATTCCTGTTTCAATGGCCTAGAGTCTATACGGGACTCTTTGATGTCATTCCAGTGCAGGTAGAGCCCTTATAGTACCCCTTAAATAGCAGTTCGAATCCCCGAGCTCTACCCAGAGACTCCAATATCCCTTAATTAAGGTATATACCTTCAATTATGGTAGGATCCTTAATATGATTTAAGGCATACTCCTTAATTAATAGGGGTATTGGAGTCTCTGGGTAGCAAGGCTGGCAGAGAAGATGAAGTTGATCCTGGACTCCGGGATGAAGTGCGTCTACGCCATTGGCGAGAAGCTGCCGGAGCGTGAGAAGGGCCTGGAGTCCACGATGGCTGTCCCTGGGTTCTAAGAGTAAAAGGTGTATCACACCCAGGAAAGCCATCATGAAGCGCATTCATGCACCATCTTGTGCTTATAGCAGTTTCTGTAAGCAAGTTCTTACTAGGTACTATATAATATCCTTCTAGGCGCGTCTTCTGTTAAGTCCCAGTCGGTTAAGAAGCCAGGTCTGCATCGAACAGCTCGAGAAGGTCAAGGGCCTACTTGACCCGGCGAAGGTCGTCATTGCTTACGAGTGCTTGGGCTTTCAAGAGTACTCCTTTGGTGTGAAACCCGAACAGTAGGACAAGGGCAAGGGGATTCATGATTGGTTATACTCGTATTCCCTTGTACTCCCTCTCTCTCTGTCTCGCTCTCTCTCTCTCTCTCTCTCTATGTATGTGTATACCCACGCTACCGTGGACCCCAGACCCTTTGATTGATAGCACCGAGGCCTGTCTGGGCCATTGGCACCGGCGTGACCGCGACGGCCGCACAGGCCCAGGAGACGCACGCGGAGATCCGCAAGTGGATTGCAAAGAACGTTAGCGAGGAGTGCGCGGCCGGCATCCGCATCCAGTATGGCGGCTCGGCCAATGCCAAGAATGCTCCGGAGCTGTCCGCCTGCCCGGACATCGACGGATTCCTAGTCGGCGGCGCATCCTTGAAGCCAGAGTTCAAGGACATCGTCGATGCCATCAGCACCGCCAAGTCCGGCTGATGACCCGGCTTTACCCGGTGCAGGTCGATTTTGCCTTTACGTAGACCCCTGATTGACAAACCAGCGGGCCTTAAAACTGCGATCCCAACTACGACGGTCCTTTCTTTGCAAGCCCTGTTTAACCCCTTCTGAAGAGGGATCTGCCCACATACTGTATCCCTTGAAACCTTCACGAAACCCTACAGAACCTGACTGGGCTTTCCGTGGAAGTGATTTTCATGTTTATTTGGGTTCAATGGGGCTTCGTGCCTTTTACTGTACTACGCTTAAACCATCAAATCCCGTTGGGTGTAGGTGCTTGGATTAGTGCCCCATGAAATAAGCATCTGTCTCAAAAACCCTGTAACTTCAGGGGTCTCCACCATAGGGTTTAGGGTTTAGGGTTTAGGTATATACACTAGCAAGTTATGAAACCCCCACCACACCATGCCAAAAGCCAGGTTCAGGGGTCTACATTTCCTTTTCTCTTGCGCAGAAGCCTGGGCCGGTGCTAGAGCTGGATATCTGCTTGGAACCCTACGCGATAGCCCAACACAAAACCCGTAAGGTTTAGGACTTTCGGTGGGTTCCATAGCAATTGTTGATGGTTGTATACGGGTTTAGGGTTAAGCCCTAAACCCTAAACCCTAAACCCTAAACCCTAAACCCTAAACCCTAAACCCTAGCTGGGTTTGGAGATTTGGGCTTGGGCTCGGACAGCCTTGGATCCGCAGAAACATTGACAGTCGCATAGGCCTGGTGAAAGGATCGAAGTCTAAAGCCCTGAAGCACTGAGCGCTGAACCCGCAGGCCCTAACCCTGAACCCCTAAACCCCTAAACCCCTAAACCCTAAGCCCTAAACCCTAATCCCTAAACCCTCAACCCTAAAACCCTGAACCCCGTACTTCCTAGACCCTGAAAACTGCAGAGTCCTGGTCGGCCAGCCCGGTCCGCTTCTGCTCGCCTGGCATCCTCTCAGGGATGCTTTTCGCGCGTTTCTCCTCTCAGCTGAAGGAAAATAGGGTTTAGGGTTTAGGGTTTAGGGTAGTTTAGGGTTCAGGGTTTAGGGTTTAGGGGAAAAGCTTAGGATCCGCTTGCTTAGGGGGTGTGGAGGGCTTTCTAGGGCTCTGGAGCTTTGGCTCTCTGGGTTGTGGGAGGAGTCTGGGGCTGGCTTTATGGCTTTTGCGCCTTTAAGTTTGAGGTTCCAGGCATTCAGGGTTCATCATGGTTCATCATTCTGGGCGCCCGTCGAGTGGCGTCCACCCGGCATGTTTCCCCTTTCTTAATTTGGTGCAAGCGGCCTACGTACGGCAGCGGAAGCAATGAACGAGAAACACGACGTCACCCTAGCGTGCTGACAGAATGCCCAGCCCGAGCATAAGCTCGACGCATTTGCAGGCACAACTTTGACTGTGGCAGAATATGTGCAGCAAGTATATAGGGCAACCTTGCGCCGTAATGTCCTGCCTAAGCATGCCATTGCTTCTATGTTGCAACTCCGTTGAAAGCTGCTCCTCAGCAGAAGCGTTATGAAACAACCTGGCAAGCTAGGCTTTAGGGCTGGGGTTTAGGGGTGTTGGAGTTGTAGCTTTATACACTTCACTAAATCATGAAACCCAAACCTTCAGCCAATATGAACGCCACGACTAGTAGCCATTCAAGGTGCCGACTAGCCCCATGAGTCACTGTAATGCTCTAAACAGCCTGGACTACAAACCCACAAGACACGATAAACCTTGAACCCTCAAACTTAAACCCTAAAGCCTTAAACTTTAAACCTTATTCCGAGTTGCGAACTTGCGAGAGTTCATACCCTATTCTGTGAAGGAGTTTGCTGTGGCCAGCCAGATCTTGGAAGGCACAGCATTGCTTGGCGATCGGATTGTTTGCGGATTTTTTGTGTTCAAGATGTTGGTTCCTTTAAATTGTGTTTCAAAGTCTAGGCTTTGGGATTGTTTTTTGGACAACTTTTCGGGGTTGTGAGGCTTGTAGAGCCTGCCACATGTTGCCAAACTCCGAAACCCCAACAGTGAAGGAGACTTCGGCCCTATCCTAGCCGGGCTTCTGGTAAGAAGACCTTTCGGCATTTTGTCCGTAGGAGCTTCAAGTGACATAGAAGACTGGAGACCCGCGGCTTTGGACCCGAAGCCCTGAAGCGGCTACGGTTTTGGGGCGGTCTAGAGTTTGGGGAGGGCACAAAACTTATGGTGCAAGCTCTCTTATCAGATTATCAGCTGTTGCCGCGACTGCTGCCATATCTCTTGGCCTGTCAACCCTGGCATGCAGCCTTGCCTGCCGCGTGCGAGCGCAAGAGTCGACAAACAACCCTCAAACTCCTCTTGTTTTGGCGAGGCATTTACGGAAAGCGGCTCGAAGCCAACCAGGCCTGCCGAGAAGCAAATATAGGGTTTTGGGCAGACTGTAATAATATCACCCGTTCATAATATAAAGTGACGGACTAGCAGGAGTATCGCCGCACAGTCATAGTATAGTACTCAAAAACAGTGTTTTCGGGATGCCATTGGCGCAGAAGTTGTACTGATAGTACTTTGCAATGGATGCAGAAGCGGAGGTTCTGCAGAAGTACTAGTAGGAAACACGCCTTTTCTAGCCGCGGGGTTTTTTGTGGTGTATGCACCGGGGTACTAATTGTCACGAGCCCCATTTGGGGAGGACCTTTAAGGCTAAGGTAAGCCCCCGTGGTGAAGGCTCCCCAACAGCCCCAACCCTTAGATACCCCTTAGATCCGGATTAACCCATGCTGGCCGAAGGAATAAATTCTACACCGGCGACATCTAGACCAATGCAATCACTGGCCTTTTCGAGCTCATTCCGAGCCACACAAAGCACCGTAGTCAAGGGCTTTCTATAGATTCAGAGGCTTTAGGGGCTTCAGGGTTTGAGGGTGGATTGGTTCAGGAATCAAGCCTGACAAGTTCCGACAGCATTCCAAGGCCTTTCGCCGACCACACCGACAGCACAGTGAAGAACTTTCGTAGCAAAAAACTTAAACTTCAAACGCACACGGTAAGAAGCCATATATAAAACCTAGCAGCCCCAAATCCGTTTCCGCCCACGGAGACCAATAAACACGCTCCCCCTTTCGTGGCACAAGATGGCTTCTCCCTCGCAGACTGAAGGGGTGAAAGGGGTGCTGGTGCGACGCCCGAAGATTGGCATATGCCGCAGGATTGGGGGCTTCGAGAACCCGCATGAAACCCAGCAAAATCCCAAACCTACACTTCCAAGCTCCCCATCTCAGCTGTCCTGGAGGCGGTGGATCTGCTTGCTGCTGTGCCAGAGACAAGGTCTCAGCTTCCTCTGAGGTCTACGGTATTTTTTTTTATAAGGGGGTTTCAATGAATGGGGTTTATGTCCTGTAAGGGTTACGGGTAACGAGTTTGGGGATTTTCGTGCACGCCTACTCCGTGGCCGAATCGAGGTAGTTGCTTAAGAGAGAGGGTTGTCGTGCCATAAACATCCCCATGGGCATAAACATCGACGCTTCGCTTGGGCTGACTAGGATCCAAAGACAAGGCAACAGATTCGAACTGGTCTTAGCAGCCGAAACGCCAAAGGGGGTAACCTGGAAACCGCCCCCTTACCCCCTAGGGCCTGGCCGCCTGGCCTTGTAATTTAAGATCCGTCCGAGTGTGCGTGGTCGCGCCCTCAACCACAAAACGCTGAGGATTGGACGGCTGGGTTTTTAACCCCATAAACCTGAACATGGAGGATCTACAGTAGATCCTGAAGCCCATTCAGGCCTGGATATATGAAATGCCAAGGATTGGATGGCTGGTGGAGTGCTACTGCATGACGCCGGTCCAGCCCGGGTGGCGCAAGAGCGCCTCAATGAAGGAGTTGTTATCTAAGGTTAGAAGTATGGGTATGGGCCTCTGATATGGGCCCTTAGGCCTTTCCAGGGACCCTTAAAGGGTACATATAGGGTATATAATGGGTGTTAAGGATCCCGGGGTTAAGGGCCCATACTAGGGGCCCATGGTTTCAACCTTAGATGTGCAGAACGGCTTAGGGTTCAGGGGNNGGGGGGGGGGGGGGGGGTAGCACCTTAGTAGTTGAGCTTGTAGGTTTTATGGCTTAGTCTTCTGCACCTCAAGCTCTTGAATTTGTATGCACCCCTTGAATACTGGGAAGTACACACCGTTTTGCCTTTTGAGCTCCATAGCTGGGTCACGGTAGCAGGGTCGGGGTTGAGTTCAAAGCGTTAAAGATTCAGGGAATGTGGGGGCCAAATTAATTACCAATACTGTTTTTCGGGCTTCCTTATGATGGTTATAGTCATAGTATAATGTAGCCTCCAACCCTATTCTACTTATTAAGGCCCCTGCATTATACAGTTCGAGTGCGCTTTAGGGTTTATGGTTTGCATGCTCCAGGGGCTTTACGGATGGGTCCGCAGGGGTGCACACTATGGGGCAAAGACTTTCAGGACTGGGGTGCACAAGGCACAAGGTTCCACCTGCCGAGTTTTCAGGGTTCTAGGATCTTATAGCTACTGACTTTGTTTAGGATCCTGATACCAACCTCAATATAAGGGTTGATATCAGGATCCTAAACAAAGTCAGCAGGTTGTGCTAGGTCAGGGTAGGTTTTATGTTGCGGAGCTTTTGTTTTCAGGGTTGCAGGCTGATTGGGCGTTTCAGGGAGGAGCGGTGCTCAGTCAGCTTTGGCATCGTAAGATCATGAACTGTAGCCAGTAGTGCTACGGCTTGGCGCGGTACTGTTGTTTTCTGTCACTTTCCCCGGCCGACTTCCCAAGCCCGGATGCAAACAGTCGGAGTGTGTGTGAGAGAGAGATATATAATATTGTATATATATATATATATATAACAAACCGCCTCACGTTACCACACTCGCTATACACCAAGATTTCCTACAGAGCCTCCGTGTCATTAAGAGTATGCCCTGTATGAAGCCGCGACTGCGGTCTCGGAAGGCTGCAGAACCGAAAGCTTTGGGATTAGCAGCAGGGCTCTCAAGATTTCGGATTTCAGCAAGG